TGATCAAAAACTTTACTTTCTTTATGGTTAGGATTCAATAAATTGATTTAAAAAATTAATTGATTAATCCTGTTTTGTTTTTTCTAAAGATTGGTGGGCTTATGAATTTTGTTCTAAGTTAAATAGTTTCTCGTATTAAGCTTTTAAGTTTGATTCTAATAATTTAATCTTCTCTCTATCATTATTAAATTAATCTGATAATCCTCTCTCTCTCGACATTAAATAAATATAAAATAATTAATATTAAAATTTAATATAAAATGATGATTAATAATTAGAGACACAAAAAATCATTCAGTTTCAATTTATTAAGGCTTAATCTGTTGTGGATTTTGTTTAATTTCTTAAAGTTATTATTTAACTTTCAATTCTTGGCTAAAAGCAACAATATCTTCTAATTAATTAATTTTACCAGCATAAGAAATGTATTTTAAAACATTATCACTCATACCATTAATAAGGAAACAACTTTTACTTTTGAGATCATCACCAAAACTAACTTATTTTCCATAACCAGAAATATCCATAAAAAAGAATTTAGCTTCTGAATTAACACCTTTTAAATAATCCTGAAATACATTTTTCATATCCAAACCATTTTCTGAAAATCCTCTTGTAACCATCATATCACTTAATATCACTATATTATCTGCTCTTATTTTTGGTTTTAATAATACATCATTTATGGTTTATCCTATCATTTCATGAGACCCACATAATTCTGTACTTTTAGTCTCACATCTCTTAATTCCTTGTAATAAAGTATCATTTTCAAAATTAACTTTAGTATATGGATGTTTGGTTGATTATGGCGCAGCAAACAAATAAAATTCACATTTTTCGCATTTAATTCTAATTAAATGAGCCAAAACAAAAGCACATGTCATACATTAATTAACTGATCCATACTTCTTTCCACCACTAATTGGACTACGCATTGAACCACTTACATCAACAAATACATAAGTAACACCTGATATTGTTTCTAAATTTTTATCAACTGCTATTTTCATTGCTTTTTCAATTGCATCTTTATATTATTCTATCACTTAAGGAGATGCATTCACTTCTTATTCTTCTTCTTATTCCATTTTCACTTAATTAATTTCTTTTTCCTTTTTCTTAGCATTTTCTTTTTTTGGTTTCACACTTTTCACTTCTTCTTGTTTACCATACAAATTGTTAATTTCATTCAATGCTGTAAAATATTAAAGTGGAAAAATCTTTGAATTTTCAACTTATCCAGAATTTGATAATTTTTAGATTACTTTTGAATGAGCATCATCACTAACACCTGATTTCAATATATTTCTTAGATTTCTTAATAATGCTAAATATGGAACTTGATTTTTTTGAATTAAGTCTTCCCAAATTTATTTTTTAGAATGTAATCCTTTACTTAATTCTCTATCCCATGTTACAGGAATTGGAATTTACATTTTTGATCCAGCTTTTTCAGGCTCAAACTTTAATTTTTCTTCTCCTTTAAATTCTTTTTAGAATTCTTCTTCAGTTTTTGGATATTTTGCTCCCAAAATTGACATTACTAAACTTCTGGGTTCTTTTACATGACTGAATTGAACAATATCTTTTAAATTTAAAAAGTTAGAATCAAAAACATTTAATTTTTCTTATGGTTTCTCAATATGAGGATTCCTCATATGTCTTTTGCTATTTTTAGCAATTTTATTTGTTTTTTAAATAGCATGAATTTCGAATTATTTTTAAATATCTCCTCCTTAGGATAATGATTATTCTCTAATTTATTTTAATTTCATTAATCTTTTCACTCTTCTTTTATCTTTCAAATCTGGAACCAAAATTTCTTGATATTTCTTTATATTTTTTTTTCTACTACTTTCTGAACATTATTTACCAAGTTAATAAATATTAAATTGAGTAAGCTTCTTTTTGATTTGTTTTTACAATATTTTTGGGAAAGTTAATTTCTTTCTAACATCAGTTAATGGATTGAGATTATTGTTCTATTTTTAACAATTAGAAATGACTTGAACAAATTAACAAACTTCAATAAGATCTCCAGGTATTAATAATGATGGACACATATATGTTGAACAAAATGGTTTAGTTTTTGGATTGAGTGTAGCATATGCAAGGATAAAATTAGTTACACTTCTGATATATAATTATTTTCTAACATAGTATGCTACCTATAGAATAAACTCTGGATCTATATCTGCAATTGTATTCATAGTTGCTATTAATTTATCTCTGGATTCATCTGATGTTTCATAATATTTTGTTTCTTTTAGTAAACTACTTGCGACTATACTAAAAAAATATTCTTTTGGATCATTTCTTTATTAGCAACAATTTGGATCTAAAAAGAATTATAATTGATTAGGAATCATTAAATTTATTTATATACTTTTCATTAATTTTTATTTATAAACTCTTTAATTATGTTTATTACTGATTTATTGATAAAAAATGTTCTCTTTTTTATAAATGAA